CTCCCTGTTCCCTTCCTGCTTTGTCTTTTTCTTACCACTCAGGACCTTCTAACATGCTATGTAGTTTGTTATCTGTGCCTTCATTAGAACATAAGCCCTGTGCAGACAGGAATCTTTGTTCTGTTCACTGTGGAATCTTCTGTGCCTGTAACAGTGCTTGGCATTTGTTGAGTTAATGCATAAATGTGGAGGTGGGGTGAGTGCTTTGCCCTGAGGTCATAACACATGAGTTACAGAGGAGAGAGAGTAGTCTTAGGGGCCAATGACTTCTTGTAGCTATTATTCTGCCTTTGGCAGTGGTTGCTATTGTACCTCCTTAATCCTTTTCTTTGCTATTCTTTCATTGAAAACGTCAATTGAGGGCCTGGCTAGTTAGCTCACTTGGTTAGAACATGGCACCGATAACACCAAGGTCCAGGGTTTAATCCTTTTACTGGCCAGCTGCCAAAGAAAAAAAACCGAACCACCGTAGTACCTGAGGCACAGTAGAGGATCTGAGGAAGTAAGAAGGATGGCTTCTTCCTTCAAAAAGCTTATTGTCTGGAGGGGAGAGTGAATGTATATAAATGAAAATAGAAGGCTCTGCAGTGACTTAGTGGTATATGCAAACTATCGTAGGAAATCAGTTCTTAAAGCTATGATATCATCACTGTGATATTGAAGAATTCAGGATAGCACATTTGGAGTAACTAGGGAAGTCTGTGGAAGAGAGGACTTAAGGTCAACCTCAAAGGAGGAGTGGCATTTTGATGAAGCTGTCTTGAAGGAGTACATTGAGTTGGGTGGCCCACAAGTGTGGCAGCTGCCACCGCAGGCCAGTAGGGGCTAGACTGTTGTCATCTGTGCTTAGAACAGCGGCTATTCATAGGGAGCCCTCACTCAGAGTTAATGTTGTTAATGCACAGTCATTAATACTGTGCCTGCGGGGAGCTGTCATCCATCCCTCCTTTCCCTGCCACAAAAGGTAACTTGTCTTGGGACCTTTAGATGTGAATTCCTGAGACTGACAGATGTTTCTTGCCCAGAGTTGCAGAGCTCTTCAGGAGCCAAAGTGGACATCTCCTGGTACCCAATTCTTGTTGAAATTTCCTTCTGTGATGCACTGATGTTCATGCCAAAGGGCAGCCCCCACCCATTTCTCTGAAGATCCTCATGAGTTTCTCCCACATCTTAGCATCTCCTGGTTCCATACTATGTTAATATTCTAGGGCTGCTGTGACAAAGTACCACAAAACTGGGTGGCTTAAAACAACAAATTTACTGTCTTACAGGTCTGGAGGCTAGAAGTCTAAAATCAAGGTGGTGGCAGGGCCATGCTCCCGTAACCTCCAGGGGGATCTTTCCCTGACTCTTCCAGCTTCTAGTGGCAGGTGCTCCTTGGCTTGTGGCAGCATCACTCCAACCTCTGCCTCTGTCTTCGCGTGGCCATCCTCCCTCTGTGTCTGTGTGTCTCTGTATCTTAAAAGGGTCCCCGTGTCTCTGTTTTCTCTTCTTATAAGGATATCAGTCATGTTGGGTTAGGGGTCACCTTGATGACCTCATTTTAACCTGGCTATATCTGAAAAGACCCTACTTCCAAGTAAGGCCACATTCACAGGCATTGAGGGCTAGGACTTCAACATATTTTTTTGGGGGGGACACAATTTAACCCATAACACATACTCAGATCAGAGAACCTCTGTCCTTTCCTTGCTTTGGTAGTTACAATATGTCGTTATACATTTACTAAGCACCAGTATAGTCACCTCTAAGTGTAAGGCTTTGTGTCATAAAAACTAATTAAATAATAATTTTATACATTCTGAATTTAGACCATTTTTTGAGCATCCACTTGTCAAGGGTTCTGTGCGGTTCTGGCATCCCAGAGTCTGACACAGTGCCTGGCACGGAGCAGAGCAGAACATTTGAAAATATTTGTTGAATGAAACTCACTACAGCTTCCCAGAAGGAGTAATGTTCCTGTTCTACAGAGGCAGAATCTGAGTATCTGAGAGATCCAAATGCTGTCCCCTGAGTCTCACAGGTGCTAAGTGGTGCCAGCTCCCACGTGAATTCTATGGATATGCCACTGCTCCTCCACAAAGGGTCCCTCCCAGTGACCAGCCTATTACCAACATGTAGAAGGGTAGCTTTTCATTGTAGTTGTAAAGTCACCTCAAAAGGCTCTCAACCTCGTTCAAGAAGGATTGGAAATAAGTAAGAAATAAGTGTTGAGAGAACAGGTAGCAAGAATCTGGGAAATCTTAAATTCAATGTCATCCCTTTTTTTTTGGTAGAGTAATTAGAGCTGTTCTTGAATATTCTAATTTTCTTCCTTGCACATGAGGTAGGATTGTACTTCCCTGTCCCATTTGCAGTTAGGTATGGCCTTGTGGCTTGTTTTGTCCAAAGAAATTGGCACGGATATAATCCTTGTAACTTTTGGATAGAAGTTCCGAGAGCCAGTGTGAGATTGCACTGCTGGTGGTCGTGCAAGTACAATGAGGTGGAACTTCCATCTGCCTGGTCCCTACAATGAATGAGGTGAGCAAAGCCCCTGCCAGCTCTGCCTAGATGAGGAGAATGTGCAGAAAGAAACAACTAGTTGTGTCAAGCCTGAGATTTTGGGACTGTTTGTAACTGCTGCATATTCTAGCTCATTGTGACTGACTGAGTAAATTTAGGAACAATTACATAGAAAGCAGAAATTCAGCAAGGATTTCCAGTAGTGAAAATTATTTTGAAAATAGTTCTTTAAAGCTTCTTGCAGTAAACTCTCTTAACATGTCTAAAGTATTAAAAATGTATCATCTAAAGAAACCTTAATGCATAAAGATTTGGAGGCTAAAGCAGTGTTAAATTCATGAGATGGTCGGATTATTTTTTTCTTCTTTATTTAAAACTTTGGTCTACTAGAAATGTTTGTCCATGTCCTTGTGCTAAAGAAAATGGTTTGACATGAGAAGAAGGGGGAGGGAATTTGTGGTTGGGAAACCAGAGGGCGCAACGAACAGTGATACCTTTATCCTAGCAGAACTGTGAGAACAATACACAGTTTTACTCTAAATTTCTCTGGTGAGAAGAGTGTGTAGTAAAGACAGATCTTCTGTTGCATTCAGTCTCTTGTTTCCAGCTGTGCTGCTGGCACAACCTGGCTGTGAATGATGCCCTGGCTTGCGCTTGCTCCCGCAGGGTAGTGTTTGAGAAGTCTTTGTTTATTCATGATGGCTGGCTCTCTTGTCAGACTCTACAGACAATAAACTCAGTTTTAATGAACAAAGCCATGGTTTTAGAAACAGATCTAATGCAACTTGACAAGAGGAAATTTTCCTAGATTCCCCCTGGAGTTGGAATAAGTGACAATGGAATTTGATGAGTTTACTAGATTTCAGAAATTTGATAAGAGTGAAATAATCGATCATCTGCCATAAATTTATGCTGCCTAATTTAATCTTAGAGCCAGCATCGTATTTCATTTGTTATGGCACTGTTTGTTATACTACTATTTAAACATCTCTGTGACAGAAACTTCATGGTAGAAAAAGATGCATTGTCTTTTAGACTGGGCTCAAACAGGTGACACACACTGGAGTACTAAGAATTGGCAGGCTTTTCTGCTTGTGACAAATGGATAGTGATTTTGTGATATTTTGGTCTTTTAATATTTAACATGTGTCAAGTCATTGTGGCTATTTTTAATATTATTGCCAAGAATATGAGAACTAATATTACCTTTAGAAATGACCTAGCCCACCAGACACTCCTTGTTTCCTGGGAGGGGAAATCTCTTTTCAAACATAATCATCCATGGTATCCAATACATCAAACAGATTTTTAAAGGTAATGTTTAAATAGTGTTAAGTTTTATAATTTCAAACTTATAGGGTTAATTAACTTTCCTGTGGCTAGAAATAAAGCTATTTCTTCTATCTCTGTAAAACTGAAGTTTCCTAAGGATTCAGGGTGAACCTTGTAAAATAAGTCAATATAAACTGTTACCACTTGCAGCTACTTATCTATGCATTCAGGGTTTTCAAATATTTAATAAATAAAACAAAATATCGATAAAGAAGAAGCCAGGACCCTTTTAAACTATGTCCTTTTTCTGTTCAAAAGTGTCTTTTTTGCCTCACTGATTAACCTTATAGGAAACAGCATAGTGTGAGAATCGCTTATATATTTTTTAAATGTGAAATAACATAATCAATTGTTTAGTGTCCAAAACTATGGTGTAGTAGATTGAATTGTGTCCCCCCAAACCTCACTGAAACTTAAGTTGTATCCCCCAAGTTTTGTGTATTATAAACTTGGCCCCCACTCTGACTGTTAGGAGGGTGAGAAATCCTATTATGATAATTGAAAGGTGGAGCCTTGAAGAGGTGATTGGATTGTAGGACTGTGCAGTAGTGAATGGATTAAAAATGGTAGTCAGGGGTGTTGTTCTGAGGGCTTTAAAAGAAGAGGAGAGTCTGTCTTTCTCTCTCTGCTCCCACCATCTTGCAATGTGAGACCCCACGGTTGCCATCACCAGATGGACTTTGGGCTTCTCAGCCTCAGAAACTGTAAGCAATAAATTTCTTTTTCTTTATAAATCACACAGTTTCCGGTATTCTGTTATAGCAACACAAAACAGACTAACACATATGGAATAGTAATTAAGGCCCTGGGTTCCTATTCTGAGTCTGCTGCTTACTTGTATAACATTACAAAGCAAATAATTTAATTACCCTAAACTTCAATGTCTTGTGAATAAGTTAGAGTTAGTGATAGTATCGACTTCGTACAGTTGTTGTGAGCCCTAAAGAGAATCCATTTCAAGTGTCTTATTATCATGGTATGTAGTGTATAGTAGGAGCTTTGATAATTCTTGGTTGTTTTTTATCGTCATTTTCATTATTAACATTACTATTTTGCAATCTTATTATGCCTTGGAAAATATTACTAGAAAAGCTAAGGAGAGAGGAGTAAAGAAATTCCGGGTTTTAATGTCCTTCCTCCCCTCCTGCTTGTGCCCTTTGCAGAATGTGATAAACTGCGGCGGGATGGCTACCGAAGTTCTCAGTACTACTCTCAGGGACCCAGCTTTGCAGCCAACTCCAGCCCTCTCTGTGATGATTATCAAGACGAGGATGAAGAAACAGATCAAAAGGTAAAGCTTCTAAGTTCAACGTGGGATCCCAGGTTGGATCCCCAAACAGAGAAAGGACACGTGCGGAAAAACTGGTGAAATGAGAATAAAAGTCTGTATTTCAGTTAATAGGATTGTCCCAGGTTAATTTCTTGGTTTTGACAAATGTACCATGATTATGTAAGATATTAACACAGGGGGAACTGGGTGAAGGGTACACAAGGGACTGTCAGTACTATCTTTGCAACTTTTCTGTAAATATTAAATGATTCTAATTTTTAAAAAGATAAGGTCAGAACCCAAGGAATTCATTAAAGGACCATAAAATCAGCATATTTGTTCATTGCAAATATTCTCTTTTGGTTGGAAAAAATAAAAGTCTTATTTCTGTTTAGTTTTTCATATGACCAGGAATCCAGTTAGGTAACAAATAAGAACTGTAAAAACAGCAAGAGCCACTGTTTCACAAGTGGTCAGGGTCTTCAATACAGATCAAACATGAGCAGTGCTTTTACCTAATATTACTGCACTGGCCAGTTGACCTAGTGATGCTGTTTTACATTTGGGTCCCTTTTTCTCATGCCATCTCTTAAGAAACTACAAACTACTTAAGAAAAGTATATTTTCTCAGTACTTAATGCCCACAAAACAATTAAAATGTATGGAGATTTTGATTTATGCAGTTTATTTTGATTTTATTAAGTAATGTGGACTGTCATTGGAATTACTTAAACAAAATAAGATTTGATGAACAGTGTTTGATTTAGAAACCATTTTTAATTAATCTAAAAACTTTCAGTGGAATTAGGTAAATATGTAAATGCCTTACTCATTGGAAAACATAATTCAAAATTTATATTATCCTTTTTGACAAATAGGTTTGTTCAGAGAACAAAGTAAGATAATAGTTGATCAAAAAATGGGAAATTACTACCTTAAATTTTTGGTCTTCAAATTAATATTGAACCCAGATTTTTTTCTTAGATTCACATTTTTAAAGTTAATTTTATTTTTAATGGACAAATCATAATTGTGTACATTTATGAGGCACAGTGTATCTAATACATAGTTGCATACATTTACGGGGTACAGTGTGGACAGTGGTGTTTGTATATAATGTGGAATGATAAAATCAAGCTAATTAACATATCCATCACCTCACTTACCTATCGTTTTTTATGGTAAGACATGAAATTTACTGTCTTAATTATTTTGAAATATGCATTATGATTGACTGAGTCACCCTGCTTGTGCAATAGATCTCAAAACTTAATCCTACTATCTGAAACTTTGTACTCTTGGATCAACAAATACCCATCCCTTCCCTCCCCACCCAGATTTTTATCACAGGATGTTTTTGCCATTTCTTTAAAGGTATTTTCACATATTAGGTTAGTGCTTTGGGACTCTAAAATATGCAGAGACTGTCTTTTACTATAATGGGAAAAGCAGCCATTTCAAAATTGATCTGATCTTTAATTTCAAAAACTTTTATTTTTCGGGGCGGCCCGGTGGCGCACTGGATAAGTGCGCCGCTTGGGAGGCGCGGCGGCGCTCCCGCCCGAGGGTTCAGATCCCACATACAGACCGGTTCCCGCTCGCTGGCTGAGCGAGGCGCGGGGGCGACGCCGAGGGTTGCGATCCCGTTGCCGGGGCAACACTGAGGGTTGCCATCCGTTGCCGGACACGGAAAAAGACAAAAAAAGACAAAACAAACAAACAAACAAAAAAAACTTTTATTTTTCACTTATTGGTATGAGTAACGAAAACGAAGACCAGAAGAACTGTATAGTGTGGTTTTTTTTTTTTTTTTTTTTTTTTTGTCAATATACAATGTAGTTAGTTATTGTGTCCCATCACCGAAACCTCCCTCCCTCCTCCCTCTCCCCCCTCCCACCCAGGTGGTGGTTTTTGTCTATTTAGTTATACCTCAGCCTTACACTGATGCTCAGAGAAGGAGGAAAAGTTTCTAGTGGGGCCCGGTGAGGCAGCGACAGTTTCTGGTGCAGCTGATTGCACAAGTTGTGAGTACCCAAGAATAGCAGAGTCCCCTGATGGCAAATCGGCATTATCGTGACAACATCCTAGGATCTTCTGAAATATGGAAACATAGTTTCTAAATCCTCACACAGCTCTTTCCTTACCATGACCCTCAATTCTGAGGGAAGGTGAGCCTCCATGGACTAGTTTCTACTCCTGCATACCTGTGCTGCAGCTCTACCTCTCAAACATGTGTGAGAGTGTGTGGAAGGATCATCACCCCAGAGAAAACGAGGCTCCTGGCATGTAGGTAATGATCATGTGTAAAATTGTGTGTGTGTGTGTATATATATATTTGTACAGGAATATGTGTAATATGTATATGTGTGTACACACACACATATATATCAACGTCATGCTTTATATGATATGATATGACATGACATATGCCAGTAAACACAAATGTTTCCATCATAAGCACCTTTGTGCAATTTGGTAGTGCTGGTATCTCTAAACCAGATGCCAGAAAATGACTGTGAGACCTTAGACAGGTCTCCTAGGGCCTGCAGTGCTGGCATCCCTTGGTGTGTGGGGGAGGAGAGCTAGTTTCTGAGCTCCCTGTTACATGCTCGAGCACAGGATCTGCACTCAGGGCCTTCCTATATTTGAGCTCTCACAGAAGAACACAGCTGCTTTCAGGTCTTCTTTCACTGCTATAAATTTTGTGTTAGTTTCGTGATTTAAAAAATTCAGGTTAATACTTGTTCTTGGTAGAAATTATGTTGATATCTTTGGAATTTATTGTTAGTGATACTTAAGGAGAACTTTCAGTGGTGGTCATTTGGGACCCAGACAATTCCTCATCCTTCCTCAATGTGTTCTGAAAAAGGGCTCTTTAAGCACAGAATAATATATACTTCATTTGTAAAACAAGTATTTATTGAGCACCTCCTGTGTGTCAGAGATGTAGAGATGAACAGTGAACCAACAGAAGAAATCCCTGCCCTCAATGGAGCTTTGATTTCAAGGGGAGGCACTAAGAACAAATAAGTAATTTTGCTGTATTAGAAAGTGGCATGTGCTCTGGAGTAAAATAAATCAGAGGGAGGGGTGGTTGCAATTCTAAGTTAAAAAGATAGCCCTTACTGAGCAAAGAGGTGATAGTGATTACAAGAGTAAGCCAGGCAGAAATCTTGGAGAAGAGCATTCCAGGAAGAGAAAGCAGCCTATGCAATAAGTGTTTCCTAAGGATATATGCTATATATGAGGTGCTGCAAAATGTAAAGATTAAAGTAGTATCTGTTCTTGCTTATAGTTCTCAGGGGTAGGGAGAACTAAGAATAAACAGGAAGGTGTGTGTGTGTGTGTATTTATGTGTATAATAAGTATTATTATACTTATATACTGCTGCAATAAGTATTTGGCATATAGGTAGGGGTAAGAAGAGGGTAAGATATGTAAAAAAAAAATAGTTGTAGGGCTCTTGCAACAGGCAAGAGGTAACTGAGGACTTCAAAGGAGCAGCTGTGTAGTTGGTAAGGAAGGAAGGAAGTTAAGAGATGGTGGCATTCTAGGAGTTAGGAGACTGAGTTAAAGTTCAGGTCTGCCATTTGCTGTGTTTCTTGGGATGTATCACAGGCCCTTCAAGGCATTAATTTTCTTGTCTACAAGGTAGGGGGTGGAATAAGATTGCTCTCTCAGATCTTTTGACAGGCCTTTTATTCATTCATTTACTCGGTAATTTATTCAGCACCTTCAGTGCGCCAAGCATTGTTTTAGGTCCTGAGGACCCAGCAAGTGAACAAGACAAAGTCCCTGCGATGGAAAGGAAGATGATGGTGAACAAACAAATACAGTATAGCACCAGGTGGTGATAAGTGGTTTGAAGCTAAATAAAACAAGAGTAAAGAGAGTTCTAGAGGGGCAGGGCTGCCATTTTAGATAGAATGTTCTGGAACTGTCTGAGGGTGTCAGAACAGACCTCAGGGTGAAGTGTAAGGACACCACACACGAATGTCTTTGGGAAGAAGAGACAGTAAGTGCAAAAGCCTGGAGACTGTAGTTTGGTTTCCTTGTATATTAGTCTGTTTTTGTTGCTTATAACAGAATACCTGAAACTGGGTAACTTATAAAGAAATGAAATTTATTTCTTACAGTTTTGGAGGCTGGGAAGTGCAAGGTCCAGGGAATACATCTGGAGAATGCCTTCAGTGCAGGGTATCACAGGGCGAGAGAATGAGCTGAGCAAGAGAGAGCTAAACGTCTCACTAACTCTCCTTATGAAGCCTTCAGAACCATGCCCATTACTCCATGAATGGATCAATCCATTCATGAGGGCACAGTCCTCACAATCTAATCGCCTCTTATACGCCCCACCTTTCAAATACCATAACTGGATTTCTCACCCTCTTACAGTGGAGATCGAGTTTCCAATACATGAATTTTTGGGGGACACATTTAACCAATAGCACCCTGTGAGAGGAATAGCCAGAGAGCAGAGCAGGTGGATAGTGAGCGAGGGGAAGAGAGGTAATAATGACTTTGGGGGAGATGACCAAGGGCCAGATCACATAGGACTTAATTGGCCATAGTAAGGACTTTAGATTTTTTGTTCCTGGATGAGATGGGGAGTGACTAGAGGAGTTGAATGGGGAAGTAACATGATCTGATTTACTGTTTAATGTGATTTGTCTGGCAACTCTATAAAGATTAGACCATGGAGAGTTGAAGACTGGAGATAAAAGCAGAGAGATGAGACAACAGGCTATGACAGTAATCCCGACAAGAGGCAGCTGATTGTGGCTAGGACCAGGATGGCCATGGTGGAGATTCTGGATTTATTCTGAAAGTGGATCTTACAGGATTTGCTGAAGTTGTGAGAAAAAGAAAATGGTTGAAGATGACTCCATCTACTGTTTTTCCAGCTTGATCCCTCTAGAATCCCATTACAAAAATTATTTGACCCTCCACTCCCCTTTGAGAAATTCTTGTCCATTGACCCTGACCTTTCATGTCCTGACTCATCCTTCCGCAGCTTATAT